ACAGTAGCCATTTTATTTATACAGTCATTCAAATAGGATTCCTTACATTGTGACAGTTTATTTCCCAAATATAGTAGAAAGATGATTATAGTACTTAATACTATTTTCGTATTTCCAAATTTCCCTTATCTAAGGTCAACAATATGGTAAAAGAGCTGCATGCATGTACTAATCTGTGATGTCCTAGAGCCTTGACAAAAATGCTTTGAGTGAAATGAACCTTCTAGGTAGCACAAAAATTGATGAAATAAAATGACTTGTCAGACTGAAGCTGAGCTAATGGGCCAGAGTGCAGCTGTACATGCAAGAATGCCGTGTTCCACCTTTGGTACCGTATGTTCCCCAAGCTCTACTGGCACCAACCCCCAAGAATCACTGAGTGACACTTCCAGGATGATTTAATAAGGATAAGAGATTTCATAACCAACAATGAAAAACAAAATTTCTTGGTTCAGAAATTTTGAACTAAATTTCAACAATGCTTTAATAACTTTAGCACTATCTACATCTGACCACTCATACCAACCAACCTCTGTATAACCTCCCCCTTGCCTAGGCTTGCTCTTCAAGTCTGTGTTCTTCCTTGAACACATCTCTTGCCTGTTTGTCTTTAAGTTTCTTTGCTTTGCTTTTTCCAATCTGGAGAAACCCATGTTCTCTCTTGAACAAGTACTTCCTCTTTCTCTCCTCAGGTTTTTCTCAGTAAGTTTCATATAAGTTTTTTTTTTTTTTGGCTTTACAAAAATAAAAATTGTTGCCTGTCCTGAAAAGAGACTCTCCCTTGAGAGAATCTGCACCCACTCCTCAGGTATGTTACTGCTTTAGTCTAAAAATACGGGGATAAAAGCTTTAAAAACAGAGAATATAACCTTCTTACTCCAAGGTAAGTATGACCATCGAGTTGAACAGTTTTAGGTAGAAGAGTGTCTTTACTATCTGAGAACAGCAGATGCTCCAGAAAAAGGTGGCAGACAGTAGGGCAGAAATGTGACAGAAGTCAGGAAAGGGGACAGGACGCAGCAGATGGAGGAAGTGACAGACACAAATATGACAAAAAAAGGCAGCAAGAAGCCAAAGTAAATGTGGCAAGAAGAACTGTGAGAATATGGAAAGCGGAAAAACTTGCTTGCATAATAACAGGTGGAATACTCAGTCATAAATTTTAAAGGGAAATACAAGTACACAAGCATCTCTGACAAAAGAGAAATTAACTTTGGTAATTGTACAGTTTTTTCAAATGCTTCAATTTATTTGTGTTTACCAATACCCACGAAAAGCAGGAAAAATTCAGATTAATAGGCATTGATGTCCCTCTTCCCAACCAAGAGCAAACGACAGTAACTGTCCTAGCTCTCCCCTGGGTATCTCGGAAAGCTGCCATAAAACCAACAGGTGTTCGCATCTGATGGGCTCAGTGACTCAGTTCCACAGAGGCTGTGCTGTTTACTGGTAGCTAGAGTGATAACTTCCTAAACTCACTGCAGGAAGTCTGACACAGCAATTCTTATGCTTACTCTCTGTCCTGGGACGATGCATTCAACTTGGGGTCAGTAGCTGTTCTTCGCCCCAGATGCCATGTGTGGCCCTTGGAAGGCCCGAAGCCAGAAGGAATTGAAGAGGTAAAAGGAAGGGACTTTAATGAGCAAGGAAAGGGACATGGGAGCCTGGGAAGGGCAGTTACTTTTTTCTGTGGTGAGGGGAGAAAGGAGAACCATCAAATGCCTCGGGCGGGTCGGCAGCTTGCAAGTCATCTTCCTCTTCATGCAGCAGCTCTTCGGAATTTGTTTTAGGTATTCCGACAGAGTGTGGAGTCACAGGACTCCAGTTAAGGTCTTCTCATCACGAACCCTGAACACCTATAAGCCCATTGCTGCTTTGCAGCCCACCCCCAACCCCCCGCCCTCCACACTACCATTCTTCTCTTCCACTCCTGAATGGGTGCGGAATGCCTCTACCTGCCATTGTATTTGGGGAGAGCTGCTTTCTGTACACCAACAGTCACCTTTCTTTCAAGAACTTATATTATAGATTATCCCTTCTCTTTTCGTCATCAATTCATCTTCGCTAGTGTACAGACACGCTCAAAACCCCTTTTCATCTTAACAATGAAAACCACCCAACAAAAAGGTTTATATTTTGGATCTACTACCTGTAACTACCTACAACTTTCTTTTCTACTTCAGTTAATTTATGAACTGATTATTTTCTTTCCTTCCTCTTCACTTCCTGTTCTTTCTGTATCTGCTCTAACTCTATTCCTCAGGGAAGAGCTCCTCTCCTCGGGAGTCATTAATGACCTTCATTAGCCAAATTAGTCCACGCAGCAGTTGAGCCACCTTTCTAATGGTCCTGGGTACACTGATAATTGCATCTACAGGGAAGTAGTTTTTCCTGTGTTTTCTACTGACAGTTTACTCTACTGAGTGCCTGTGTCTCTAGTTACTCCTTGTCAGCCTACTTTTCTAGTTGCTTCTCCTTTATACAGCCTTTAAAACACTATGGAGTTCTGTAGAACCTGACCTGAAACTAGCTTCAGGTCAGGTTCTACAGAACTCCATAGTGTTTTCTATTTCTTTCTTTAGGTAACTCATTTCTCTCAAGGCATAACAATTATTTAAAGCTGTTAACTGATTTTTTTTTAAACCTCCAGTTCTATGTACAAAGATTTTCCTAGATAGATCTACATGGGTGTCTTTTTTTTTTTCTTTTTCGGTCATACCCGGCAATGCTCAGGGATTCATATGGGATGCTGGGAATCAAACCCAGGTCGGCTGTGTGCAAGGCAAACGCCCTACCCGCTGTGCTATTGCTTCAGCCCCCACATGGGTGTCTTAAGCAATTTAAACGTACTACCCTTCTAACCAAATACCCTCATTAGAAACCTATTCCATTATCCACCAGATTTTTAACAACAGTGACAAGAAGTCAACTACGCTCACTGATATAAGCTTTCTTCATCAATCTCTCCAACACTCTATCTTCCTGATCAATTTTACTCAAAGCGACCCTTGACTACACCTACTTCTGTATCCCTATCACTGTAACCTAACAGAAGTCATCCATGCTGCTAGAGTTTCCAAATTCAGCCTCTACAGATGTGATTTTCCTATTCTTTCCCATTCCTGCTAATCCAGCTTTCTCACTGCCCTAAGAAGAATGGTAAGAAACCCAAACCTGACCATGGAACATCTCTGCTGTAACAAGCAAAGCCTTTTTTGCTTAGATCAAAAGAAAAAGGCTCAAATCCTAAGAAGGCACTTCACAGCTGGGCCGAGTGATAATATAGAAGGGTGTTTGCTTTGTGTGCAGTCAATCAGGGTTTGATCCCACTAGGAATGATCCCTGAGCTCAGAGCCAGAAGTAAAGTATCAGCATCACCAGGTGTGGCCCGTTCCGCACCCCACCCACAAACACAAAGGAAAGTGTTTCAATATATGGCCTTTCGGTTTCAAGATTCTTTCCATTCCATTTTCCTCTATGCTTCCCACACGGTAGCCAATCAGACCTTTCCCCGCACGTGTATGTGTTTCTAGCGTCTGCCAGTTAACTCCTCACAAGGTCTCCACCTTCAACCCAGACCGGTCAATCCACTTATCTTTTACTATCTTTCCTTTATGTGAGGTTTGGTTTTTTAATATTAAGAAAGTACATATCCCAATTATTTGTAGTTGTGATTATTAATAATGTATTATTTAATTATTACACTTCCCACAGTTCAAACCCCTTCTCCCCACAGCCAACATCTCACAACATGAGGGCAGTAATAATGTTTGCTTTATTCAATAATGCACACTGCATGTCTGAGGTATAGCATACTGTCGGCATATATTTCGTAAACATGATTGGAATAAATGAATCAAAGTTTATCCAACTCTGGAACTCTCCATCTCTGGATAATCCAAACACTGACCAATGCAATTGGTACTTTCAGTTTACTCAATAAACAGTGGAAATAAATAGCAATTAGACTCCATAACTCAAGTACAGTGTTTTTCTGGAGGAGGGACATCCTAACTATTATATTATTCTTGTCCATTTTAACTTATAGTTAAGTGGTTTACAAACAAAAAATTCCTTAAAAATAAAAGAGAAGACAGAATGTGACTCAGAAAGTACATGTCTGGCAAGACCCCGAATTTGATCCCCAGCACTGCATGGATTCTCCTCTTTCCCCAGTCATGAACTGCACCGTGAGCACCACTGGGTAAAGAAGTAGTTGATGAAAAACATTCTAATTCATCTTAATAGTCAGCTCGGTCTTTCTCTCAATCACTCCTGCTGGTCTATATGCTCTTACTATTTCACATACCAATTTGCGACTGCCTAAAATGGTAAAGCAAAAAATATACAATTACAGGTCATATTTGGATTTCAAATCATAGTAACTTTCTTACGATTCTCAATAAAATGTGAGAAAACAATGAAAGTAAAGCCAAATGTTGGCTATATCCCAATATGAAAATCCATTAATTTATTCGTTCATTCACTTATCCATTCATGGGCTCAAGAACTGAATCCAGAACATTCTGTACATAAGGAAAGTAATAATACTGCTGGCTACATCCTGGTCTCCAATCCACGCTTCTGTCTTCCCTAAATTGGTAACCAATCTATTTGTTTCTTTTCAATTTGGCTGAACGAAAGAACAAGAAAAATTTTTCTCTAAGCAAATCTCTAACCTGAGCTTTGGAACAAGGTGTTATTAGCAGAAAGTCTAGAATATTACTTTTTGGAATGAGATATTATTAGCAGGAAGTCTATAAATTACTTTTTGCCACAGAGGGCATGAGAGTATTCTGAGCACAACAGTGTTTTAGCACCCTTCTCACAAGAATGTGGCTGGTAAGCAGAGGTTTCCATGAGCTCATCTACAGAAAGAAAAGAGGATTTCTATGTATTAACCGTGCCAACCTTGTCCTGACTTCAATGTGCTTAATGCCACATACTGATTTCTATTACACTGCTTCAACTTCCTGCTATCTGTTCTTAACCAACGTTACCTTCACAGGAAAGTCCTCATCCTGGCTGGATTTCTCGGAAGTGAATACGTAAGAGATTTCTTTGTGGGATGTGGTCTGGCGGCAAATGGCGCATTTAATGGAGCTCTTATGAGACCCCACGCTGTATTGTTCAATAATAATTGCAACGCATTCATTACAAAAACAGTGTCCACAGGTCAGCACTGCCCACTAAAAAAAAAACACCAAACAAACAAATGAAACTAAAAATAAAAAACATACCTTAGTGAGATATTAATAAAGCTGTCTTCGCATGTACATTGAAAGAAATTTAAAATTTTATTTTCTAAATACTTCACTACATTAACATTCTATAAGCTAGAAAAGATAAATTTACTTTAAATGAACTGTTTTTTAGTTACATCAGAGTAAGCTTTCAAGATCTTTAGTTTTGTTTATCCTAAGAGTGAATAAAACATTCATCATTATTTTTTAAGGAACTGCTGCTTTGATTCCAAGAATTTAGGAGAAGTGCTATATATATATATATATATATATATATATATATATATATATAATTTTAACCTTGTAATAGCAGAACACAGGTACTTAGCACAACACTGAAAAAGATAAAAATAATTTGATACATAACCGAAAAGATTAACTTGAAAGCACTCTTGTCCTTCTAAAAGAAAAGCAAAATACTCTGAATCTCTGAAAGATACATGGAGACTTTCCCCCTTTGCTACGGAGAATGGAGAAAAGCTTCAGATTTACTCTAGGTACTAATTCTAAAAGGTAACTATCTGTTATGATTCTAGGTAATCATAAAATTTGCACATAAAGTTCCTATACCCTAAGCTTAGGTAATTCTTCTAAGACTCTATGGAAAGAAGGTGTGAGGCTGGGCTCCCCTGAGGTATTTTGCCTAATGGACAAGAAGTCCTTTGCTAAAGACCCCACACCGAGGGAAGAGAAAGATAAAATATACAAGTGTGGTTTATAAACAATTATTGGGAAGATTTTTTCCCCCTGGCGGTTAGCTGATGCTTTTTTCTTGCAATAATCTATAAATTTTGAATAGCAGTTCTTGCAATCAAGGATTTGTGCCAGAATCCTAAAAAGATGAGGATGCACTAAGCATAAAAAGCTGTTACGTGTGTGTTTTCCTGATCATACAGCAGCAGTAATTCTTTGCCCTATATCTAGAGAGTCACTATAGGGGAAGCATATTCATCTATCTGAAGGAACGCTTATGAATTATGAAAGCGCAGGATAAACAAGCTGAACTGAAAGACAAATTCATCCACATCTTCACAGAGAAGAAACCAGAGACATCTGGCACTAGAGTATGAGAACAGGAAGGTGACCCAGACAGGAATAAGGCACTGACAAATGTCAACACCTTTAGAGGTATTACCAAGCGTGAGCACTGTCAACAGTTTACGAATTATGGGAAGAGAAAGAGCTGTCATGAGAGACTGTTTGCAGACACCTTTCAAAACTACAAAGTCTTTTAACCATGCATGTCATGATATTTATTATAATTTCACCTGTTCTCCCAGCTGCCTCGCACAGATTGGACAAGGTTCTGGATTAATGCCTCCTGATGTCTGGTCTTGAGACTACCCAAAATAGAATTAAAAAAATGTATTAGTTATATTTAAAAACTTGGTACATAATATATAATTTATTTATAGAAGTAAATGTTAGTGACTAATATAAAAAAACTAACAATTGAGATAAATAATAAATAAATAAATAATGTACTGGGTTGGAGAGAGAGTACTGCAGGTAGGGCAAAGGGCATTTTGCCTTGCCCGCGGCCAGGCTGGGCTCGACCTCCAACATCCCATATGGTCCCCCAAGCACCACCAGGAGTAACTCCTGAGCACAGAGAAAGCAATAAATACCGTTGGGTATGGCCCCCCAAACAAATGACCCCTCAAGCAATTTATGTATTATCTAATAATATAATCTTGGGATTTACAACTAAAATTTATTAAAAAATGAACAATGAAAATAATTTTTAACCAGCTTCTAATTTTAACATATTACAATATTTATGAACTTTGATGTAAAATAGGATACAACTTGGTTAAAATTTTATTTTCAAGCTAGATTTAGTTATAAAATATGTATGATGCATGTTCACTTGGTATACATCACAGACATGGTATGGGGTAGTAGTTACACAACTCCTTTTCAATACTGTTTTTTCCCAATTACCATTTTTTTCCTAACCTCATAAAAAACAAGTAAATTGAAAACAGTAATGATACTGGGACCTATATATGCCTGAAAAATCTCAGTGTTAGAACTTCTCAAAATCTCCTTTACTAGAATTATTTTAAAAAGCTTCCAAGAGTTATCTGGTTGGGGGGAGGGCTTGGAAAGCGCAGAGGGCAAAGCTCAACCCCAGCCCTCCTCATGGAGTCCCCAAGCCCGGGCAGAGCCAGGAGGAATCCCTGAGCACAGCAAACAAAAACAAACCCAAAAAGTTGCCTGATGCAGAGATTTTAAAATTAAGTAAAACAAATAGGAAAATAAGTTAACATCAAAAAGTTATCAAATAGAATTGAAAATAAAAGTAAAACGTAAAGGATAAATATTTGAAAAGGGTATGGCTTCACTAATCAAAATTGAGTATTAAGTCTAGTTTTTGATGATCATTTGATTTTTATTAGTAAAAAATAGACTAAACTGGACATAATCAAGCAATTAATGGGTTCAAAACAATCCCATTAGTGAAATTCTTGTTTTTGCCAACAAATATCTGAAGTATACAGGCAGTTTTTTGGTTTGTTTTTAAGCCACACTCGGTAAGTCTCAGGGAGTCCTGGCTCTGCATGCGGGAATAGCGACTGCATGAGGTCCTCTGGCGGATCTCAGGGTCCCCTGTGGATGCTGGGGATTGAATCTGGAGAGGCTGTGCACCTTTTTAAAAAATTGAAATTCTCTGTTTCCCCCGTTATTTTATTCTAGATAGCGTATTATAATACTAAGTGATAGTATCTTTTTCTTTCTCATGATTTTACAGATCACTTGGGTAATCTGGAGCTGGGTGTTATTGTTGAGGTGGGATGGTTCAATATGACCTCATGCTCATATCGAGCAACTAGTCTTAGACAACTAGTTTGTGTTCCTCAAGGAAGATCATCTAGGCTTCTTCACGTAGTGTCAGAACTACAAATAGCAACAAGAGTGGGAAAACTACAATAGGCAGAATTTTTCCAGTCTGCTTGTCACAAGGTAAAAAGCAAGTTTTATGACCAAGCTCAGAGAGCCAATGTGAAAGAGGATTACCTGCAAGTGAGGAGGTATACAACAAGTAGCATTTTGTAAATTTTTTTCGAATTTATTTAAAGAAAGGGACTTTTTTCCCCCTTTTAGACAAAGATGCCTGGTGTATATATTTTAGACTTTTGGGACATACAGTCATCTTTTCAGTTACTCAACTTTCCCTTTAAGCGTAGCCAGAGATAAATTGAAAACGAGTAAGTGTGGCTGTGATCCAGTAAAATTTCATTTAAAAAAAAAAGTCTTAAAATAATACATTTAAAAAAACTAAATCCAGAAATGTACCTCTTCCCCAACTGGTAATTTTCTAATTTTACATGAGAATGACTTTTAAAGTATTTCTACCTCTTTTATCCTACCAAAATAACAGAAGTGATCAGAGTAAGAATAGTAATATGGTAATAATATTAATAACTCCTAAAAAATTTTCATTAATACATAATGTATACTATACTTTACATCAATTAATTCATATAGTCCTGAAAAGAGCACGAGAAAATAGTGGTTCTCATTCATAGAAATTGGAAGTCATGGTTCAGACCTTAACTCATCTAAGGTCTTCCTAACTGTCATGCATTTTTACCTACAACAAATGTCCAATTTCATTTTGTCTTCACTGGGATTTACTAATTCACTTAAATGTATTCCTTACTACTTTTTTTTGACTAACTTTAATCTACAGCATTACTGTATGTTTCCTATCCAAAAATTCTTCAAATATGACCTGCTCTGATAGGTATTCTGCCAAATGTCACTTATTCTTGCACTAAAATGGAATTATACTATCAATGTCTTAACATAATATTTTGTTCATAACTCAGAAAATTTGCTGTGAATTACAATAAATAATTCACTACCTTATATTCTGATTTGGTGGTTTTTCCAAATGCATCTGACAACTTCAAACAACAAACAAACATTAAAAAAAAAAACACTATGGATGCTTTACTAACTACACATGTATGTCACACAATGCAATCTTAGCCCATAATGATATTATAATATTTCCACTATAGGAAGCTTTATTTCTGTTTCCCTATATCTTTTCACAATGTTCTAAACCACACAATGCATATTCTTTGCTATTTACGTATTGCATCTTTGTTTAATTTGGTGCCACATCTGGCAGTGTTCTGGGGGCCTCTACCAATGGTACTCAGGATTGAACCCAGAGCTTCCTCATGAAAAGGATGTACCTCAGCTTTGAGACACCACCCCAGAAATAGCATCCTCTGTGTTCTGTGAGGCTACTACAGATAGAGCTAGTGCTGACTCTTATTTCCAACAAATGGAAAGTTAAAAACCAAAACCAAAACCATTTATAACTATGTGGATAACAGATTCAATGGAATGAATAACTAAAGTGGTTAGAAAAAAAAATTACCTTCTCCAAATTAGTTAGGTAAAGAAGCTGTCCAAGTTTTTTCTGAAGCTGTGACGAAGCAACAGCTTTATCGTTCAGAAGTTTCATACGATTCTGTTCCACCTTAAAAAAGTAAAAACAACTTATTTATTGTCTTTCAGAAAGACAACAAAATTACATTGAACATACACAATTCTTTAATCTGTTCTATTTTAAGAAAACTGACTTACATATGAAAAATATCAAATGTGTAAAGTGAATATTAAATAACGTTCCAAAAAGAAAGATGTTGTTTTCTTTGCTTTATAGAAAAAAATACTAGTGCAGGATTTTCTTTTTTTTCCTAGTCACACCTGGTGATGCTCAGGAGTTACTCCTAGCTCAGCACTGACCAATTACTCTTGGCAGTGCCTGGTCACATGGGATGCTGGGAAACAAACCTGGGGTTGCTGCATGCAAGGCAAATGCCCCAGTCACTGTACTATAGCTCCAGTCAATGCAGAAAAATTTTAAACAGGGAGTTTCTATACAAGCTATTAGATAGAAATCAGCTCAAATTTTATTTCCGAATAATTTTAAAGTAATACATTAAAGGCACAAAGAAAAATAAAATAATATGCTACTTGGGTCAGGCTGATTTTATGAAATCCAAAGAATTTTTCTGTTTGCTTCCTGTGTCTTGCTCCCCCCACCACCCCGAACATTAGAGGAGTATAAGAAGAGGAACACTTTGTTTTCTTAGAAAAAACCTGGTGAGAATTCGTTTTATTTATATACTTACTAAGCCGCGAAGCATGCTTAGGGTCACTACCCGAAATTCTCAGCCAACTGGAAGGCACGCTGATTTGAGGGCCCACGGGAGTGGTGCTGCTCAGGCCCTGCTGGACCAGTGATGGGGATTAATTGGGCCACTCTGGTGGGGCTCAGAGGAATACAGGGTGACACCTGCGTACCCTGGGGTCTCCAGGGCTATACCCAAGGGATGGATGCTCATAGGACCACATGGTTGCCAGGATGGAGCCAGGGTCACCCTACTGCAAGACATGAATCTTAACCTCTCCCTGGACATTTCCCTGGATCACGGATTAAAATTTTGAAAGACAGTAATGAATACTTCTAAGTCAGAAACTTTGAATGAGCTTTACAGCAAGAAGAGGATGAATAAAATTAAATAACCTTACATAAATAATCTTGCACAATAAATAATCTTAAATAAGTGCAAGAAATAAAATCTATTATGAAGGAAATATTTTTAATGTAGAAGAGGAAATTAGAATTATCTCTTAATTCTGAGACTTGAGGGTTTTTTTAAGAAGAGAAACGGTCGCCATCTGTTCATCAAGCAAAGAAAATCACAGCAAAAGAAACTTTGGATATTAAGGAATAATATTTTCTTTCTTAAAAAACCAGTCTTCTGAAAAAGCTAAGGTAACAGAATAAAAGTTTAAAAGTTCACCAAGACTTTGGCATGAAGAAAGTGCTCAAAAAATATTTGACTGTATATGCAATCTGGAAAGAAAAAACAAAGCAGGCACCAAAATAGTGAATGCTAAACAGGCATGATTAAGATAATGAAACTGATTAAATAATTAAATAATAAATCTAATAATTAAATAATTAGATTTATTCTAAGTATTCTCAGATCCCTGATTCAAACTCTTCTATGGAACTTAGAATATTTTGCTTTGTGGGTCACACCCGGCCATGCTCAGGGGTTACTCCTGGCTCTGCACTCAGGAATTACTCCTGGCGGTGCTCAGGGGACCATATGGGATGCTGGGGACCAAATGTGGGTCAGTCATGTGTGCAAGGCCAATGTCTGCAACTTTGAACTTAAGTAACATCTACTGGCTGTGCTCCTTTAATTTACTGATGAATCACCTCATGTGGTTCGATGATGTAAAGCACAGGAGGATTAGGTTTTGGCTCCTTAGGAAGACGAACTCTTAGTCGTTCAGTAGCCATTGCAAGCTCATCGATAGCAGACACACGATTCCTGAGAGCCATCCAATACTCATGAAGCAACTAGAAGAACACGGAAGACAAAGAGGGTGGTAAAACTCGTCATTAAAATTGATTACAACAGTAACTTTTGATCAAGATGTATGTTGGTCAAAAGTTTTTATAATTAAAATTGGTTAAAATCACATTTATCCAAGATGTACCTCTATCAAAAGTTTTAATGAAATCTTCAGACCAGTAACATTTTTTTTCATTAATTTGTCTAAAACAGGGCTTCTTAAACTTTTTCCACTTGTGATCCCTTCTTGCCCGAGAAATGCAACACTGTTAGAACTGCCAGAAACTGGTAATGATGCCTGGAATTATTATGCATTAAATTTAAATCATTATTCAAGTTTAATTCAAACTTATTAAACAGCTTGAATTCATTTTTGGTCAGTGTGCACTGAGAAGCTTTCTACAGTTGCCGAAATTTTTATTGACTCTCACGTTTAGTTACATGATCCGTTACTTAAGAATTATGGAGTTTAAGGTACAAGCAACTCTTGACTCATTTTGCAGATGAGGAAGGGCACTACATAATGTCCAGAGGACACTGCAGAGTAAGAACAGAATACCCAGGGATTTCTTGGCAGAAACAAAGAACTTCACAGATAATGTTAGGTTGGTGGAATCTCTGCTTTAATTTTTTTTAAGGTATTTTAAATCATGAAATATTTTATATACTTACTACGTGTATAGGAAAGTGAGAATGTCAAAACATACAAATGAATACCCATCATCCAATTTAAAAAAGAGAATACCAATTCCTTGGAAAGCCTCTGAGTTTCTTCTTCACTGTCTCACTCACTCATTCTTCCTTCAATCCCCAACAATGGGGACACTATTCTGAGTTGGACTTCTTATTCCACACTTTTCACTGGAGTTATATTAATCTCTGTATCCTTAATAATTTGATTATATGTTTCTGAAATTTATAGAAGCATTTAACATTTGTTATCACATTTTGGATATGATTTCTTCACTAACATTAAACACTGAAGCAGATCCAGAATTCTGCATTCTAATAAAGAAAAAAAAAATTTCAAAGATCGAGAAGGACTGCACAGTCAGGATTGCTGTGACACAGAACATGTGGCCACGCTGAGTCTAAAGAAAGAATTTCGGGGCAAGTGGACAATGTATATAGTACTACCTTCTCCTACAGCTTGCTGAAACCTTGTGTTTACATTTAGGATAATGAAAAAAGCAAATTTTTATAAACAACGATTTTATCTTTAGAAAACTATCACTCCACAATTTATCAGATATATGAACTATTATTATAGACAATAGATCTTTTTATGGAAAGATTTTATTCTAGGGTCTATAGTAGAACACTTGCCTTTCATGTGTGGGAGACTGGGTTCACTCCCTAGACAAAGCAATTATTATTTTTTTTGTCCTGCTAAAAAGGCAAGAATTTTAGGTTAAAAAAAAAGTATCAAATTAATTTCAACATAATCGAACATTTCTTTTATTCTCTTACCATCTCACCTTTTAAAAAGTAAAAATAGTAAATCCAATAATTCAAAACAAAAATTCTAAAATCTCACTTCAAAGTTAGTTACAATGTGATGAAATCAATTGAAGTATAAATATGAAAGGTCATTTTCTGTATCCAAGGGCTGAACTCACTTGGTTGCACATGCAGGAGACTGCACACTATATTGTGGCACTGGGGACCCCAGACAGCAGAGTTGTTGGGATCACATCATGATGCTATGGAAGGAACTTGCGACCTCACCAGCCTCAGGCCTCCAAGACAGGCACTCTATTGCTGAGCCATCCCTTAGCCCCACTTCTGCAGTATTACTCTAACGCAATTCCAGCAACACTGAGAAAGATATACTATGTTCTCGAGTCTTCAAGGTGGGTGATATTTAGTTGTTACAAAGAAAAAGCAAAGGACAGACCCCCTTCTACTGCCCTCCCCCTCACCTGCCCATGGGCTGGGCACACACCCCGTGCCTTACGCACAGCTGACCCTGGCCGATCCCTAGCAATACACATAGCCGCCCAGCCCAGCAGTGGCTACTCCTAACTACAAAGAGCTAGGAGTAAGTCCTGACTGAACTCCTCTGGTAAGGGCCCAAAAATGAAAAGAAAAAAATTAAAAAACCCCAACTTTTTAAGTAATAAGTAAAAACTCCATATTTTGCTTGAGACACATCCAGTGATGCTCAGGGGATATTCCTGGTTCTGCACTCAGGAAATTAGTCCTGGCAGTGCTTTGGAGAGCTTATGGGATGCTGGGGATTGAACACGGGTCGGTTGTGTGCAAGGCAAACTCCCTACCTGCTGTACTAACTCTCTGAACCCTCCTTATTTATTTTTAAGCAAAATCAATATGGTTTAGAATGAGAAATTATGCCATCTTAAACCTCTCTAGCAGATTTTTAAACACTGAAGAGAGATCAGGGATGTTGCTCAGTGGACACCTGCTTTACATTTGCGAGAGCCTGGGTTTGCTCCTCAGAAACACAGAAGAATCTACTTTCTTTCGGGGTAAAACATATGCCTGGGACTCTGGCATCTCATAGCTTCCTTTGGGTCCGGCTCTTGAGGCTCTAGAACCGTTGAGCCTCACACACAGAAATGCCAGGTCAATAGTGTCTATTAGCTCGAAGCAGCTACCAGGTGTGGTTCTTAAACAAGGTAGCAAAACCAAAGAGGAAAAAGTAAAGCAATTAATTAAAAGTAATCTGAAGGAGCATTGCTCAGGGGATCCCGTGGTGCTGGGGATTGAATGCAGATAAACCACATGCAAATCATGCACTTCACCAATTTAAGCCATCCCCCCGGTCCTAATGAAGAGGAGTTTTAGAATATAATACCTTATATTCTTTTTTCCATGCTTCAAAGAGATCCATTGAAATATTTCCTTGATCAATAAATTCAATATCAAATCTATGTGATCTCGCAAATGATAAGACAGCTTTCACAGCTCGCTCTGTCTCACTTATTGCCCACAGACCCCGACTGGTGGTAGGTATCCTGTCATCCACCAGTCCTTCTTCATCTTCTATCATCTCCTCAAATATTGCAGTCTGCCCTTTGACTCTGAAGACAAAGGAAAAGAAAATTCTTCACTTAAGTGGGTAACAAGCACTGTAAAATCATGTAAGAAAGGAGTAACAACATTTGACCAATAACTTCTAATACTGTGTGAACAAAATTATGTTTTCAAGTATTTGGAGAACACTATTTTGGGGGGCTAGGGACTGGGCCACACCCAGCAATATTCAGGACTTATGTCTGGCTCTGTGCTCAGTGCGCTCCTGAAATCAAATTCAGGAAGTAAATGCAGTACTAGGAATTGAACCAGGGCCGGTCACCTCCAAGGCTTGTACCTGAACCCCAGTACTATCTTTCCAGTCAACTTAACCATCAACTACTCCAAAAATAATTGAATCATCATAAATTTGACCAGTGTTTCTTGAAAGCATAATTAAAAAAAAAAACCCCAAAATAACATCAATCATAAACCACTACCACCAATCATGCAAAACAAAGTAACAATCATAAGAAAGAATACCTAAAAGTACCATGCCAATAAATGCCTGTTTTAGGATGTGATCAGAATTTTAATGAGAGTAATCATTCTGGACACTTGTCATTAACATAATCCTAATCAATATGAATTATATATAAGCATTATTATCTTCATCTCATGAATGAGGATACTGAAGCTTAAGTAATTTGCCTATAATACCAGGTGAGAAATCAGGGACCTCAAGAGTCACTCACGACCCAAAAATGTCTCTTAATACCAATTATCCTCAAACCCGAGCCTACAGGAGTTAGCTTCTGTATAAGGGAAACTGAGCAATAAATGATAAAAACAACAATATAATTAATTTGCATGAAAAAAGGGAAAGGATATTGTGAAGAAAACGTGTTCTATTACATAAAATACCAAGTCAGAAAATAGTACCCTGAAGAGAAAAACATCAATCAGGAACTCACGTGTGAGAAAACAGCTTGGATTCATATTCTGTGAACAATTCATCAGCCTTACAAAAGACACAGCTGGAAAAGAAGAGACTGCATCAGAGAGATACTCACAAACATAACCAACAAGGTAATAGGCTCACAATATTTGATATTTCACTTTTTCTTGTAAGAAACGTGATTTTAGAAAAAAAGAAAAATAGATTCTTGGGAGTTAAAAGTTAGATGAATACTTTTCCGTTAACTTCAACAAATGTTTTTCAATTAATAATTTTACTTTTCAGTTTTTGTGTTACACCGTGATATTTAGGGGTTGGTCCCAGCTTTTCACTGAAGAAACGCTCGTCGCAGAGCTTGGGACCACATGGGATGCCAGGAACTGATCCTGGGTTAGGTGCAAGCAAGGCAAGTAACCATTTGCTGTACTCGCCCCTCAAACATTTTTAACATTTTTTTTTCTTTTTTATGACACCTGGAGATGCATAGGATTTACTCCTGGCTCTGGACTCAGGAATTACTCTTGCGGTGCTTGGGATATGGGACCATAAGGGATGCTCGAATTGAACCTGGGTCGGCCGCGTTCAAGGCAAAAGCCCTACCTGCTGTTCTATTGCTCCAGCCCTCAATGAAACATTTTTATGAGTTGTTCCTTTTTTCAGAAGAAATTTAGCTTAAAGTAATGCTGCCATTTCTCCTATTACCTACCAGTTGAGAGGAAGTCTGACGGGTCGAAGGTGGCAGATGGTTGCAGAGTCAATAACATTACGAGATGGGGGTCCCTCCAGGTTTTTCACAGCCTCCCTAACTAGCTTCTGGCATTTATTTAGCTCTTCCATTTGTGTTGTAAGCAGGAACTGAAGACCTCTGCAGTCATGGAACCTGATTCCCATTATCAGAACACAAAGAAAAGGACAGTGAGTCAATGTCCTCAACTCAGAAAATGGTTGTTTTTGTCTTTAGATATTAACATGTCCATCATTTTACCTAGCAATACCTGAGGAAGTTTACAATATATTTACTTTATGTTATTAGAGGGCTGGAGCGACAGCACAGCAGTAGGGCGTTTGCCTTGCACGCAGCCAACATGGCCGACCCGAGTTCGATTCCTCCGCCCCTCTCGGAGAGCCCGGCAAGCTACCGAGAGTATCTCGCCCGCAAGGCAGAGCCTGGCAAGCTCCCCGTGATGTATTTGATATGCCAAACACAGTAACAACAAAGTCTCCAATGGAGAAGTTACTGGGCCCGCTGGAGCAAATCTATGATCAACGGGAGGGCCTTTACTTTACTTTTACTTTTTATGTTATTAGAAGGAATAAAAATACTTGGTTATCTACTGCAAAGATACTGAAATCCCATAGTTCGAGACTTCCAGAAGAAAACAAGAGTACTCAAAAGTCCACCCCGCTATCTCAATCAACTTTTAACTATCAGAACTGCAATATTCCTTCTTTTTAATACTGATTAACCATAGGTATGTATCTCTCCTGGATATAACTTTGCTATATAAGAAGAGGTGACTGATGAATGAAAAACAGACAAAATTGACAGGAAGAAAATAGCTACATTATATTCCTTGAAGAATTTAGCATCTATCTCTAGCCACACATTTATACAACAGGTAATACTGTGACGTGGAATAATTAAAGCTTAATAAATCAAAGTAACTCAGTTAAAACTACAAGGCTATTATGTGTTGCAGAATTAGAAGCTAAAAAATTGTATGATATATGTGCATGAATTTATGGGGGAAATAAAGGCTTAGAATAAGAAATTAAAAAATGAAAAATACAAATAGGTTTCTATTTTAACTTACAATTATATCCTTTTCTGTCCAATTATAACTTCCTTTTCAAATTGTTCAAAAAACCCGTTCTTCACAGGGGATTGCCCTGCCACAGAGGCAGGGGGGGATGGGGGGATGGGGGTGGGGGGGGATATTATCCATGGTGGTAGAAAATGGGCACTGGTGGAGGGATGGGTATCTGATCATTGTATAATCGAAACCCAAGCACAAAAAATAGTAAATCTACAACTGTACCTCATGGTGTTTCACTAATTAAAAAAAAACAAAAAAAAAAAAAACCGTTCTTCCTGAATGCTACCCCAGTACATCACAGCATTGAGCTGCGTTTCTGACAGTATCATTCATTTTAATATTTTGTTGTATTCAACTCTTAAAAAATCATATTTCTCAAATTATTTCAGGTCATCTCATTTGGGTAACTTTGAAAAGAATTATAAAAGCTGTAACTCTTTTTAAAAGCCACATATAATTGACACAAATTAACTGCTCCGTAACTTCTAATTTGCATAGTTACATTATTCATAAAAAGAAAACCCAGTTTTTATTTCTAAGAATTTAAACAGTTCTTTAAATTTTAGTTTTTTGGGGGAGGGACGGGGCGGGACTACACCCAGCTGTGCTTAGGGCTTACTCCTGGCTCTGTGCTCAGTGGTCAGTGGTCGCTCACAGTGGGAACAGCGTGGGAGGAGGTAGGAGTGGGAAATCACAGGGGCTGCTGGAAATCGAACTTGGAAAGGCCGTGTGCATGCAAGCACCCCAGCTGCAGGACTACTGCTCCAGCCCCAAATTTAAAAGGATTAAGTGGCTTTGGAAAAATTCTGTTCATTTTTGTCTGAGTCATGTGACTTGGGGCTGAAAAATAACAGACAGTATTTAACAAATCTCAAACAACATTCTCTCTTGCAGCTCCTTTAAAGATGGGAGAGAAGAAAACAGTAACAGCGGCTACTTTAAAACACCAAACTAAATGTTAAATACTAATCTAAATACACAGGTCCTAGTTCTCACAAAAATGCTTTTTTACAGGTGAAGAAACTAAGCCTCAGATGTCACACATCCTTCTCAAGGCCACGGTGGTATACAAACAGGGACAAACTCATATAGTACGACTTGTGAACCTAGCTGCACTCCTAATAACCAAGCCATGAATCTTTTACCAAGAATCACTCGAGAAAACGTGACCAATTTGGCTTTTGAAATATCTCACTAAAGCATATAGCATTAAAATGATAGCTCTGACTTTATGCATATATCTATACACACATATATGTAATATAAAATAACATTACTTAGCTACAGGCTTGTTAAACCTTTTTTAAATGTTGGTTTAGTTTCTACTTACAGCTAGCTTTGTTAAAAAAGGCATGTTTGCGTAACAAATGACACATTTTGTTTCCTATAGGTCCTCCTCTGGCTTGAGGATCTCAAAACATTTCCTAGGATATATGTTCTAATATAGTAATAAATACCTTTTCCCGTGTATGACTTATTTTTCCCCTTTTTTATTGCAGTCTAGTGCTTTACAGTACTATAATTGTTTCATACTTAACACTGCTATGAGAACATACTGCTTTTAAGGCATTTCTGTATAGTTAAAAAAAATTAAGAATATTCCTATTTTCTTTTGATTCCACAATGTTGGCAGAACAAATTAGGACACAGCTTTAAAATGATACAAAACAAGGAGCCAGAGAGATATTACATTGGGTTAGGTACTTGCCTTGCATGAGCCCAACCCGGGTTCTATCCCTGCCATCCCATCTGCTCCGCCAAGCCCGCCAGGAGTGATCCCTGAGTGCAGAGCCAGGAGCAAGCCCTGGGTACCTCTGGCTGTGGTCCCCAAATCCACAAAAACAAAAGAAAATAAAAACTGGACAAAATGAGTCATCACTTAAGTGTGAACTGTGAAAAAGTGCTTCTTGGGCTTACCAGGGTAAAGTATACAAAGTACTGCACATTCACAAAAGTCTTTTTGTTCTGTATGGTGAAAAAAAAAATTATTTCTAGAGTAAAAACCAGTCAATAAATTACACAAAGAAAAGGTTGCTTAACCTTTTGATTTCAGCGAACTTCTGAAAAAAAATTTTGGAAGAGTAAATAAAATCACTTTAAAATGTTTCTAAAATATTGTTATGCAAAATTTTACACTCAAAACTAGCATTTATCCTGAGGGTGATCTTATTTTCTCCCAAGGTTGATGTGATTTGAGGAACAATAAAAGATATCCCCTGTCCCTCTATCTAGAATCAGCAGTTCTACCATAAATTTCTTACATTATATCCATTCTTGGGGGGCTAAGCCACTTAAGAGACTTTTGACAGAAGTTGTTCATCAGGACGATTACTTCACTCTTTTACGGTTATTAAGAGCTATGTGTATCAATAATCCAATTTATCTACATTTAGATTATAAAGAAAGGTGAGTGCTGATGAGAAGATACACAAAGGAGAGAAAGAAGAGTACTGCCCCAATATAAACTCTGGCCCTTTGCAGCACTATGGTGTTTAGAGTATATGGAGTAAAACACACAGGAAAGATGAACGTCTGCCCTCAAAAATAAAAGGCACTTACCAGTTTTTTTTTTTTCCTTTTTGGGTCATATCTAGCGATGCTCAGGGGTTATTCCTGGCTCTGCACTCAGGAATTACTTACAGCTGACAGTGCTCGGGGGACCACATGGGTTACTGGGGATTGAACTTGGGTCGGCCGCATACAAGGCAAATGCCCTACCCACTGTACTATCGCTCTGGGCCTGAGAGTGGTGTCTTAAGCATATTAAAAAAAAAAAGTGTGTGTGTGTGTGAGAAGGTGGCATTAGAAAGATAAAATGTTTAAAAGACAGAAAAGAGGCTAAATACATTTTTAAAACTCTTGTTTAGCTGTGTATTTAATATCTTTATAAATAGTATTCATATCGTGACAATATGTAAAATAACCTATTTATAACCATAGTTCGTTGAGTCTTAATAACTGTTTTAGGTATCTAAAATAAGTAAACATTTCTACTATTTTCTTACTTTTCTGACATGGAAAGCTTGCCAGGTTGTTGCTTGTAGTTGCTAGTTATTTCATTTCTCACTCGCTGAAGAAGTTCTTCTTCAAGAGAAAACTCTATTGCTCTGTGGAGCACACTTAGCCACCAAGGTGAACTAGAATGAAACTGAAGAAGAAAAAAAAAAGAACAGGCGATACATCACTATTTTCTTATATTCATTATGTTTCCTCATTAGGAAAGATATTGTGAAAGGTTCAAAGGAAGTATTAAATGCCTCTCAAAGGATTTCAAATAGGAAGAAGACAAAAATAGCATTTTACGTACAATAAGTAAATACTGCTTCTTGTACAAAGAGAACCCTCGTTTCCTGACTACTCTGGATGGAATGAGAATTACTGTGAACGTTGGTATAATAAAACTATACTAAAAAACCTAGCAACATGAAAATTCAATATTCTATATATTTAAAAGGTAGATCTTTAGTCTCAACATAATGAAAACGTTATTTTAATATTTTATTAACTGAATTAGAGCCTACTGAATGAATAACCCACGGAAACAAAAATCACTCATACGCCCGAATCAGTAGAACAAAACGTGGGACTGGCTAAAGAGAAAAACAAAAGATGATTACAGACTCTTTTTGAGACTGAATGGCATCATAAGAGAATGTGAAAATGTCTCTGATTCTAATGCCTTGACATTTCTGTAAAAATTTGTTTTGTTTTTGGACCACACCCAGCTCCTGGCTTGGTGCCCAGGAATCACTGCTGGTGGCTCTCGGGGAACCCTACAGGATGCTGTGATGGGGAATGGGGAGACTGAACCCAGGCTCAGTGTGCAGGGCAAGCACTCTACCTGCTCTCTGGCCCCTCTAAGTTTTGCCATCTTAAAATAGAATTATTTGGGGGGGTTGAAGAGATAGTACAGCAGACAGGGTGCTTGCCGTACACGCGGCTGACCCAAGTTCGATCCCTGGCACCCCATACAGTCCCCCACAAACCCATCAGGAGTGATCTCTGAGTGCAGAGCCAGGCCTTGCCCTCCAACAACAACAACAACAACAACAACAACAACAACAACAACAACAACTATGAGGACGATGACAACAGTAACAACACCACAAAAAGTATTATGGAAGCTTAGCATCTAAAATAATAACGAGGCTACAGAAGTCTTAAATTATTCAAACAGTCACCAAAAACCTTGTTACATTTTCAAGGTAAGAGGAATCCCATTACAGCTTAACAAAAATAAAAATCCTTGATTTATCTACGCATCTGTTCATTTCAGTCAATAATGCTAAAAGCATATTTACTTCTAGTGTGGGCCAGGTATTGTATGTACTAAGTGACAAAATTTTTTTCTGAGTCACCGTTGAGATACATAGTTACAAAGCTGACCATGGTGGGTCTCAGTCATACAGTGTTCCCACACCCATCCCTCCTCCAGTGTCCACTTCCCACAACCAATGTCCCCAGTTTCCCTCCAGCCAACCTCCCCCGTCTGTCTCTATAGCGGGCACTTTCCTTCTGTCTCTGTGCCTCTCTCCCCCTCGGGACACTGTGAGACAAACCTTTCTTTGGAGCTCACGTATGGTCTGCTGCACCGGCTGCAAAGCCTGTTGTGCTTCAGCAACTTCAGTATTACACTTGCTCATGTAATGCTCTCGGAGGTGCTTGGCCTGTGTTGAAACAGGAAACAAAGAGAAACTTTCATCCCAGGTCTTGAAAATAATGTGGTATGATTCAACAGTATGGTCGTTTTATCTTCTTAGAACAACCCAATTTAAACGGAGAACTCTACATATCACTTAGAGCAACATTTCTCAGAAAGGGGCCAAATGCTCCCTAGAGGCTCTCCAGATATTCCAAGGTGGCCACGGGTGAAATCTGCAGTAAATGTAATGGGGTGGCATGATATGGAAATAAATGGGTCAACTGATCAGATGGGTGGACACAGAAAGAAATTAAGGTTGGAAGGAGCGAATGGCTGGAAAAAGGTCGAAAAGCAGTGTTGTACAAAGTACCTCCATGCTTGACATTCATCAAGTATTTCAAAGAGGATAAAATTTATTTGTAACTTGTAACATTTAAGAAATTCCATGTGTTTGCGCTCCAAACTTTATGTTCTTACAATTTAAAAAAGAAAAATAAAACACAAGGGAGTAAAAAGTACTAGTCATATTTAAAATTATGAGGCAAAATACAAGGATACCATTCAAAATCTCTACTATGATTTAATTATTTAAATTTCTTGGAATGCCTCATCTTAAAAAAATTACACTTGAAGGGCAAGGGTGATAGCTCAAAGGGCTGGAGGCCTGTGTCGAACCACTGGTATTCCAGGGTCTCCTGAACATCACTGGGAAGAAACTCTGAGCACCTACCTGGGAGTAAGAGCTCTTGAGCACTGCGCAATGTGGCTCAAGTCTACTTCCCACCCTCAGACAATACCTGAGAATATTCAGTAATGGTAGATATTATGAACCGTATTCCCCTAAAATTCACATGGTGAAGGCTTAGTCTTAATGTGATTGGTTATAACAGCTTAGATAAGAGAGTTATTTAAATAAGCAAATGCACAGTGTAGTGCTAATCTAATGACGGTGTCCTTATCCACAAAGGGGAGGCAGATTACAAACACAGAATGCCAGGCGGGGGCACAAAGAGCAGCAGCTACCTATTAATACACTACAGAGTTCTCAGGAATAACCAACCCCGCAGACACCAAGACTCTAGGCTTCCAACCTCCAGAACTGTGGGAATTAAAATTCCCTTCTTTAAGTGTCTCTAAGACACTGAGGGTGTGGAATTTTGTTATTCTGCCTCTCCCCCTGCTTTAAAAAAATGTTGGAATCTAAAAATTTTAAAAGGGGTGACTTCCAAAGTCATTCTTAGGTGTTTCAGGCATGCAATGTCGCAGCACAGTGTTCCCGGGTGCCCTCCCACCCCGGAATCTTCCTCCTTTGAGAGGCATGTGTTTAAGAGTTTGGTTCTTGTCCTTTGGGCCTCCCGCTCACAGTGCTGTGGGCTCTGTGGAGTTGCTATTCACACACTCCCCCCGAGTTTTCTGGCAAGAAGAATCACATTACTTGTGAGCAAAAGAAGTCCCTAAGCTCACCAGGAGTGACCCCTGAGCACAGCCAGATAAGGCTCAAAAACTTAAAAAAAAAAAGGGGGGGGGAGAGAAAGACATGAAATGAAGTTCTATCTCACTGAAATATGAATTCCTAGAGTGTCTGAATAAAGAGTATCAGCTGTATGGGAAAAACTATGAACTAATGATGCAAATGCTTCCTTCTAAGTTTCTAAGTAGAGGGAAAATTAACAATCTCATACGGTTCAACTGAACATATACATGTTTTTGGATTAGCCATATGATTTCCCTGGCCTTTCATTATTTCAGGTGCAAAGAGGGACTTAAGAAGATGAACTCTGAATCTTCCTGTTCATGGTGTGTTTTTCCTTTTTCTGTTACTATCTTCCAGTTAATTCCTATTAAAATTTCTTGGTTATAATTATTTAATAATTAGAGCTATCTATTAATTTTGCTGTCTCACAATCACAATTCTGTCACTGGATGAATTTAAAAAAGAAACCTCTAGCAGTAAGGATTAGATGTCTCCACTGGGAATAAAATTGAAAAAAAATCGAACACTTCGTAATTTAAAATACTCTTCAATGACCAGCAATACCACAGAGAACTTCTTTGAGAAAACTAATAACACAAAAACTAGAGTATTACTTACTGACCTAGGCAACAAACAGAAAGGCAAAACGCAAACCTTTTTATTTTTATAAAATAACTTTTTCATAGCTGCCATAAAATCAAGAACATTCTTTTTACCTCTTCTTCAAGTTTGCCATCTCTCAATGTTGGAGGTATTCCTGGGTGCTTGGCTGCCAACAATTCCATCAAATTATGGGTAGCATGAAGTCTCTACAGATACAAAAAGGGCAATAATTATGACAGTCAAGACACGAAACTGTGAACCTGTAATAAAACCTACAGTTACTAAGAACACGTTATGATCAAGTTCTTTTAAAACAATTTTATTCCCAACTTTCCTGGAGAAAAGCAAACTCAGTTTTATAACATCTTAATTCAAAGTGACATGAATTTTTTTCAACTAAAAACAGTCTTATGATGAAGAACATGGCTATACTTCATACTTATACAGTATGCATGAACAGTTTTATGAAGTATGTCAAGGCATCTATATAATGTTATCTAATGAAATATTCTGTAATATTTCTATAAAATATTACAGCATTTGTCTAGATAAGAAACCTGAAATATATCATGCCAAGTTAAGTCTAGCAAGATTAAGAAGTTGACTGCTACAGACTGGATTCCTCTTCTCCTGAGAACGGAACATGACGAGTCTGGTAACAATATTCTGATTTTTAAAAAGAATGAGAGACCGGGGAGATTGCTCAAGTCAAGAGAGCATGTGTAGCATACATAAGGCCGAGTTCTTTCTTTGTAGGTGGAGCTCTGCTGGGAATGGTCCTGGGTCCCTGAGCACTAGCAGATGTAGAACCAATCTAAAAATATAAGTAAAATATATTTTTTAAAAAACTCGCATCTGTTGAACTTAAAGCCTGAAAAGTGGAGGAGGTAGAGAAGGCAGTACACAGAGAAGGTGAAGACTCATTGTAATTTGGAATCTGCAACTGGTTAAAGATAGCTCCCTCTGGAACTCTTAAGAACTATAGTAAAAAATCATATAAAAGTAATTTTGTTTTGTTTTTGGGCTATACCTGGCCATGCTTAGGACTTACTCCTGGCTCTCTGGCTCAAGAATCACATCTGGAGGTGCTCAGGGAACTATACGTAGTGCAGGAGATTGAAACCAGGCCAGATACTTGCAAGGCAAGTGCCTAACCTACTGGCTAAAAAAAATTATTTCTTGGTGGGGATTTCTTCCACTTCCTCCCCTCCCCCCATAAAAAAAAGTAATGCTAAAGGGACTGAAAACTACTCCTGGTGGTGATACTTAGTCCAGCTGTGCAGGCCTAAAAGTTTGCTTGGGCATTAAGGTCTGTGCTACTTGGATCCGAGGTGCTGGTGGTTCCCATGGCTGTACCTGGCTGTGCTCATGTGCTATCAGGGCTATACCAAAGGTGCATGCTGACATGCAAAATGAAACAACTGAACCCATTCTTTGGAATACATACAAGTTTTTTCATTTTACTGTTAGATTTACTGTTTCTGATACTGGTCTGAGCAGAGAAGAGTAAGGACTTAAGGATTCTCAAACTTTAGTGTATATACAAAATCAATTTGGATACTAACTAAAAGGTCCGAATCTCAAACCATCTCCAGAGGTAACTCTTTATCTAAGTATTCCTAAAAATTATTTTCCTTAAAAGGCCTGACAGATGGCACAGATCTGCTCCCTGAGAACAGAGCCAGGACTGAATACCGCGCACTGCCAGACCTCTCCCCCCACAAACACAACAACAACAAAATGGAAGTTAAAAAAAGAAAAGCGCAAAGAGAAAAGGTATCTTAAACTCCTGAGTTCTTACTTGCAGTGAATCGGTTTTGAGTTTCTCTTTGTGTTCCTCAGATGAACGCAACACTTCACGGTACAGTTCTGCTGCCAAGGCATACTCATCTAAGAATTTAAATATATTGGAATTATAAAAAGGTCATTTAATTCCCTCCATCATCTACTTATCTTTTATCGAAAGATGTCTACTACAAAAACGAAACATAATCCAACGACTTCTGTCTTCTGTTTTGGCTTAGGGCCCATCCCTCAGTGATCAATCCCGGTGGGCTCAGGAACCACAGGTGGTGGGTATCAAACCAAGGCGGACCGTGTACAAGGCGAGCACTCTATCCACCATACTCTCTTTCCGGGCCCAACAAAACTATTTTTAGAAAGGAAATCTGATTTGGTCGGATTGTCTCAGTTAAAATACAATTGTTCTTCTTTATTAATTCCAATCAATATAATAATACTCTAAAATTACAACGAAAAATAATTCTGGATTTACTTTTCAGTTCAGACAATTGATTTTCCTCTTACTAAAGTTACTAAATTCTCAGAAAAACAATAAATTTTGGTTTGTTTTTGCGTCACACCTGGTGACGCTTGGCGCTTACTCCTGGCTCTGCATTCAGGCGTCACTCCCTGCAGTGCTCAGGGGGCCATATGGGATGCTGGAGCTCAAACCTGCATTGGCTGCGTGCAAAGCAAATGCCTTACCCACTGCACTATCTCTTCAGCCTGTTTCAACAATTTTTAAGTTCAGTGGCATTAAATATGTTAACACTATTGTGCCAAATACCTGTTTGTAACTACATCTACCGGTTACCCAACATATTGCTTTCTAAACACTTTCACAGTATATTTTACATTCAAGCAATTTTAATTCATTTGATAATAGGTATTATTTTCATGATAATGAAGTCTCTAAAACAGAGGAAGTTTTTTTTTTTAGTGTAGAAGATTACAGAAAGCTTTTTAAGACACAGACTGCAACAGCAGTTGAATTTATTCATTACAAAACCTGTTTTTTTAGGCTTATGAACAATGATTCTAGGGGAGACATAAAATATACATATTGAACGAATCCTGAAATCTAAGCTGGATTTGGAAATCCCTTTCCTTGCCACTTGATGGCACTAAAAAGTAAATGACACTGGATTTGATATTGTCAAGCTAATTTTCTTAAAAATATGAGCAGAAAGCATATGCTTTGCATGTTGGAAGTCCAGAGTTACATCCCCGCTACCACACGGTACCCCAGCATGGCAAAATGTCCACCCCCACCATAAAAATTTAACAATAAAACAATACTGAAAAAAAAAAGCAGAAAGAAAAAAAGCAGAAAGAAAAACGTCTAAAATGGAAATGTCTTAAACACTATAACTGTTTACCTTTGCATATGCAACATACATTATATTCAAACACTTGCATATAATGAAGCAAATTCACCTAGTTTTGAAATTGATTTTACTTTTTAGAAATTAGACTGTCACTCATCTTTGATGGTTTAAACTAGTTATATATAATAGTTATTTTCAGCACTAGTTTCTATCCACAGACAACTATGGGGGGGGGGATTTAGTGGAAATTCATCCTACATTCTGCTACTACAAGAGCCAACTAGCAGAACAAGATGATGGGATGCAGTTATAAAATCAAAATGGGAAATCTAAAATTTATTTTAACTTTTGTGACAATCTATAATTTATCTATAATGTTTTAATTCATTTTAGAAATCTTGATGGTTAAGCCTAAACCTACTCCAGACAGTAAAATACTAATATAGTATAAAAATGTCTATTTGATAGAGACAATATAAGAACTAACCTATTTGAAATAAAAATCTAGGGCAAATTGCCAATTAAAATGAAAATGTTAAATCTTCAATCACTGCATAATTATGAGAACAAAACATATAAAAAATGTCCAATTTGAAGATCTAAGGCAAATTCTGTCAATAATTACAATCTTGCAAAAGAGCAGGTATATCTTCTGAAATCAAGTTTTCTTAAATGAAAATGTTAGTTCTTCAATCATTGCATAATTTATGAGAACAGCATATATATGACTACAATGACTAACAGTGATTATAGAAAAGTATGTTTTTGTAAGATATGCTAACTTAAAATATTTTTAAAGTATACTCATTATTTACATATATTTAAGATCTTGCACACATATTTCTCATCTGTGACAGTCAAGTCTTTTAGAAATTTTATTCATGGTTATTACACTAATTTTGCGTTTAGAATTACGACAAATTCTGAATTTCACTTCGATACACATATGATTGCAAGTTTTTATAAGAAATAAAACCGGGTTTTGTCAAATTTTCCTACCTTAACAATCTTGTATTCCCTGGATAACTCTAGTTGGTCATACTGTATTATTTCTGTTTATATACTGCTGATTTCATTGGTTCCATTTTCCCCAATGGTTATTCAGGCACTATGATTCCAACACTGTATTAAGGCATATGATGTCCCAACATCACATTCACCACCAGCGTTTATTTCTCCACCAATGTCTCCAAGTCTTCTGCCACCCCGCCCTCCCCCACCCCCCAACCTCCTTGGCAGACTAGGTTCTGTAGGCCGATATCCAGAGTCTGCCACAACTGGCCACTTGTTATTCCCTTACTGCTACTTTATATTCCACATGAGATCATTCTATATTTTCCCCTCTGACTTCAGTCAGCATGATACCCTCTAGTTCCATCCACACAACAGAACTACAAGTTTACTCTTTCTTACAGCAGATTAGTACTCCACTGTATAATTTTACCCTATTTATTTTTTTAATCCATTATCCATTTATTTGTTCTTGGGCGCAGGATGGTTTACAAATGTTGTCTACTGTAAACAGTACTGCAATGAACACAGGAGTGCAAGTACACTTTCTAAAGATAGCTGGAGGTCTAAGCTAAGCAGTGCAATTGCTGGGTCATATGGAATTCTCAAGTCTAAATTTTTTGAGAAGGGTTCACACTGATTTTGTGCTTACTTCTTTACTGTATAGTTTTACTGCTTCTAGTTTTTGATAAGCATCTTTAGGGTCTTCAAGAATAATACCATCTACAAATAGTGAGACTTCTTTTCCAATATGGATCCCCTTAAAAGTCTTTCTTGCCTCACTGCCATGGTGAGAACTCCAATATAGTGTTAACTAGCAGTATGAGCAGACATCCTTGTCTTGGACCTGATCTTTAGGGAAAGATTTTCAGTTTTTAACCATTGAATATGATGTTACCAATGGATTTGTGGTAAATGGCCTTTGCTACATTGAGAGAAACTCCTTCTATCTCCATTTTGTGGAGTTTTCTTCATATATGAGTACTGAATCTTGTCAAATGTTTTCACTGTAACTACTGACATCTACTAATAGATTTTTATCTTTTCTTATATTGACAGGATTTATCACATTGACTTATATTCCTGGAATAAATTCAACTCAATCACGCTGTAGAATCCTGTGGAATCCTTTTAATGTATAGTTGGAATCGGCTCACCAAGATTTTGTTGACGATCATCCTACATCTATGTTCATCATATTGGACTAATTTTTTTTTTGGCTGAAGTCTCCTTTTTTGGTACCCGAGTAATACTGGTCTCTGAGAAACCATTTGGGAGGATTCCTATTATCAGATTTTCTGAAAGAGTATGTAGGTATTCTTTGAATGGCTTGAAGAATTTACTAGTAAGCCCATCTGGGCCCAGGCTTTTATTTTTTGGGAGACTTGATACTTTCTTCTTTTGTTAGTAATGATTATATTTAGATGTTCTGTTTCCTCCTAATTCAGTTTTGTGATGTTAGAAGATTTCAAAATTTTAACCATTTCTTCTAGGTTCTCCAATTACATGGCATAAAGTTTTTCCTAGTAATCTCAGAAGATCGTTTGAATTTCTTTATCTGCTGTAAATTCTCACCCTTTCACTTCTGATTTGGCTTATTAAGAACTTCTTCCCCCTTTTTCTAATCCCAGCCAATGCTTTGTTGAGCTTGTTAATTTTTTTGAAACACCAGACCTTGATTTTGCTGATTTGGCCTATTTTGGGCACCCCTGATTGACTTTTATTAGAAACATGCGATGTGCATTTGGGCGATTTATTCAGGTCTTTTTCTCTTTCCTGATGAACACTTGCACTGCCATGAACACACTTTTTGTTACTTTTTGCTATGTCCTATATATTCTGGTTGTTTATGCTTGTATTCTCATTTTTTTTTCTTTGACCTACTGTTTTTTCAGCAATATTTAGCTCTTTAGTTTGTGAGAATCTGAGTTATCTGACTTCTACTAATTTCTACATTCAAGGCATTGTGATCTGAGAAGACTGCTGACATTCTATTTTTTTTTTTAATTTTAGTTGTATCTGACCATAGTTCTAGCTTGGGGAAGATCGCATGTGCACTGGAGAATGTGTACTTGATTTCTGTAGTGAAGAGCTTGAAACAAGTCCATTAGGCTCATCTCTATCACTTCTTTTAAGGTCAACATTTTCTTAATGATTTTTTGTCTTCATATATCCAATGGTGAGGGGAGGAAGTATCAAGACTCTTACTACAATCGTGCTGCTGTAAATATCTTTCCTAGGTCTACTGGCAGTTGCTCTACAAATTTTGACAGTCATACATTCATTATGGGGATATGTATCTATGAGTATAAAGTAGTCCTAATGATGTAGAGATCCTTTGAGCATTAAATGATCATGCCTGCTCCTTTTAACATTTTAAAATCTGAAATCTATTTTGTTTGATAGAAGTTTCATTGGCCTGGCCATGTTTGGCAAATGTTTGAAAGACTGTTTCCTAGACTTTCACTTGCAGTGTTTATCCTAACTCTTTCAGTTATCATGTTTCAGTTATAATAGTGTTATCATAACAGGTATGTCTCCTATAGACAACTGAAAATGGGTTCAATTTTCTGATCCAGTAAGACACTTTGCACTTTTTGAATGGTGAGTTCAGTTCATTGATGCTAAATGAGATTACTGAGATTAAGAAGTTTAATGCCATTATTTTGGAGAAACTATGAGTGTTTGTGAAGTTTGCCCTGCCTTTTAAAGGAGCTTATTTATTACTGCTTGAAAAGCTGGCTTAATAGCCATAAACTTCTTAAGCTA